AGAACAAGATTGGTTTGGCACGTCAAGCAATGATTCTTTTCCTTAAAAGTTTACCGATTCATTGTCATTTTAATATTATCCGATTCGGAAGTAACTATCAAACATTGTTTAACGAGATCACGGCTGTTTACGATGAAGAAAATGTTCAAAAAGCCGAACAATTAATTAACGAAATGCAATCAGATATGGGTGGTACCAAGTTGGTAGGTTTGATCTTGTTCACTTGCATATTTATTGTTGATCATATATTTTTATTTTAGTTAGAACCACTTCAATGGCTACAGCGACATCCACCAGAACAAGGTCGAGCTCGACAAATTTTTCTTTTAACTGATGGTGAAATTTCCAATGTTATTGAAGTACTGCATCTTTGTCGTTCAATATCAACGTCAACCAGAATTTTTTCCTTCGGTTTAGGAGATTCACCGAGTCGATCACTTGTTAAAGGTCTTGCACGAACAACCAATGGTAATTTCATTTTCATTCCGCCTAAGAGCAGTGTTGATGTTTATGTCGGTGAGCAATTAAAAAAGGCTTTGCAATCTTGCATTGCTAATATTCAAGTCAAATGGAATTTGGGTACATCGGTATTGAATGCTCCAATGAAAACGCTCCCAGTCTATGCCAATCATCGTCTTATTGTTTATGCATTGACAGATGAGCAAACTTCAACATTTGATCACCATTCCAGTGTTGAATTGCATATGAATCAACATCGATTGGCTGCAGCGATAGTCGATCGTGTACCAAATGTAAATAATACAGGTACCATTGCCCGACTAGCGGCGAAAGCACTCATTATCGAATTGCAACATGCTAAAATTCTGGAAAAAAATGTGGATGGTACGTTGCAAACTCGATCTGAACATCTTGCACCATCGACAACAATCAACGATGAAAAAGAAATGACAATAAAGCGAATCATTGAACTATCACTCAAACATCAAATTCTTAGTCCATACACGGCATTTGTTGGAGTGGAAAAACGGACTGACACAAGCAATGCTGAAATGGTTCCACGTGAAGTGCCTATTCAAATTACAGCCGATGATCAACATTTGCAAACAGGGCATTATAATAATGTTTGTTTCGCTCGACGTAAGATAGCTGCACGAGCAAAGACAGATGGATTTATGTTGGAGGAACATGAATCACAGTTACACCTACCCCAGAAAATTTCGTTAAATGACACGCTACAACGTTGTAAGAAACACTTGTCTCACATGGCACATCGATTAAGACGTTCACCTTCCCCGATTGACGGTCAGAGAAAGCGAAAAAGTTCATCTAGCTCTTCAAGTCCTCCAAGAACATTTGAAAACACCAGAGAGCCTTTACTTGATGCACCGAAGGCCAGTTCAAGTTCTCATTTCGGCTATTGTTATTGTCACATTGGAAACACGTTTTGCTTCCTATTGCACCATATGGTATTGTGTAGTGCAAAAATCACGTCAGCATTTCCTTGATTTACTTACTCACGATAGAAACCAATTGGACACTTTATTGGAGAGTATTCGTCAACAGATTTGAATTTCCATCATCGTAGTTCTATGTGAACAGTATCATGACTATCGAACTCAAATATAAATCTAGAGCTGTATATTTGAAAATTTGATGTTTTCAGTTGTATCTGCTTATTTTTCTCATTTATTTGATTTGAATTGGTTGTTTTTTCAGTAAAATATAAACGATTTTAATAGAATCAAGAGTAAACGAGGTATTTATCTTTTTATAGTCGAATTTTTGTTTTGCTTGACAAATATATTCTTTTATTTTCTATCTGTTTAAATTTGTTTTTACTTCCAAATTGAGATGTATTGGTCACAATAGGAACCAAATCTTAAAATTTGTATGCATTCATTAAAAAATGAAAAGGAACCTAACTGTTTATACTATTTCTAGTTCAAGTTCTACTGCATATCAAGAAGATTTCTTGATGTGAACTGATAAGTGATACGCCAATAATTTTACAAGAAGTAATAACAGATAATACAAACTTATGGCAGTAAATGATGCTTTAATAATCATACCTGTGGGTTAAACAGTTTATGAGGCCGCTATACATGCATCAACAAAACGAACTTGTTGTAAAAAGGATGACTACAGATAATTATCTGCGTCAATCGGAGTGTGAGTATTGGCATTCACTCAATGACAGCCATACCAACACTCACACCCTTTCTATTATTGATCAGTTTAAACGACTCGACAGAGTAGTTTAGTCCAAACAAAAAAGATCATTTTGAGTTTTTAAATTCGACTAAATTAGGATTGCCAGTACATTTTCCAAAAACAACAGTCATGAAACGCATAAGTAGTGCCTCAGACTCATCATATCGCTTGTTTTCAACTAGTTTTTATTGGTCTAGTGGATGGGCGGAAGTTATTCTGTCATTTAGACTGTATAAAATGATATAAGTCTATGTTCACGTCATGATCTGCCGTCAGATATGGAATACTACCAGGTTATATGTTTGAATTCATGGCTCATCTTCTTTTTCTAATACTTCGACTAATTAGAGTCTAAGTAGAAATCTTAGATTCATAGAGTGCTTTGGAAGATTCTAGAATAATCAAAGCATTGTTATAACTGACGAGCCTTTTCTACCACGGTTGTTAAGATTTATAAGGGAGAGGGATCCATGAAAATCTCAAATTAAACTTCAACTTACCGTACTTTCTTCGAAAATATATGTGAGATTTACAAAATATAAAAATCATAGGGAATATATGACAACTGCAAATAAATTATATATCAAATATGATCGTAAAAATATTCGAGAGTTGATTGTTCAACACATGCCATTGATACATTATACATCGACAATTTGAATAATATTGAAAACACGGTGCTAAAATTTCCATCTTAGATAGTCCAGGAGAAGATGTTGGATACAAAATCATAATTTGTCCAGCGTCCTGAGAAAAAAGCATTAGCTTGTCCTGTATTTCCTATAATTTGTAATAATAATAAGCAATCAGCCGTTGTCGAAGAAATAAATTGTTCAAATATTGATTGAATTTGTAAATTAAATGTTTGTGATGAAGTAATTGTCGTACTAATATATCGATCTGAATAGAATCGAGTTAAACTTTCAAATACTGTTCTATTTGTTAATTTCCAAAATGTACTTAATGCTTCAAGTAAGAATTTACGTGATGCTCGAAAATCACAAAAATTTAATATCAGATTTGGACAAGATAATGTAAGATATTCTCTCCAATTATGAGTTATATAAATGTTATTACACTCTTGATGAAATGTATAATTGGTATAAAGATATTTTTTTTGTATTCAATAGATATTGTGTTTGTACATGGACATGTTAAAGTTTGAGAATAAGTTAAATATAATTGTGAATATTTTTTGAATGAAAGTAGACTAACGTTAACACTCTTTGTGACATTAACTAACGAAGTATTTATAATAAGAGTAGTTGTTCAGAGAAATAAAAGTAAAATAAATAATCTTGTTGATATTCGTTCATTTCGAAGATTAAACTCATTGGTTGAAGATGGTATTGATGAGAATAAATTTAAGTTTTAACAAAATCCAACAGTAGGTTGACCAATGTTATTTTCTGTAATAAATGAATAGAATAATAATTACTGTAAATAGTGTATATTTAGCTATAGTTTACATTCATTTCATCTTCTAAAGGATATCCTATGAGTAATTTTACTAAATCTCAGTGCACTTTTCTTTCGTTTCTTAATCATTAAAAAAATACCTCTTATGTTTAAAGATAGAGAATTTCAAGCTAATTTTTTTGTCGACTTGACTTTCTCCAAGCAAGGAACATAAAAACTGTCAAGCTTTGTAGTACTTGAGCTAGCGAATCTAACCGTGTACAAATGTTTTTACAGATGATAAATGCTTTTTCTGAGATGGAGTCAGAAATCAATGAGTTCCATCTTATTATGATCAATAGAGCGTAATTTGAGTTACATATTGACATCAAAAGATCAAATAAATGATCTTTTGTTGAGTCGAAAATGAACGAGTAAGAGAGCTTAAGTAATCCAAATCGATGAATTTTCAACTACCAGTTGATCTTGAGAGTCTAATATCTCAGAAAACAAAAGTGAACGTATCACCTAAGTCTCAGAGCTAGTGCAATATATAAAACAA